TCCTGCATGAAGAGACCTTCATAGTATATGCCGTCCAAGGTCACAATGAGGCCGCATCCATGCTTCTTATTATCGCTCCAGTTGCCCAAATACTTCTCCCCTTTCCCTATATCATCCATCACTCCATATCCTTGTTTCGCCCCGTTCACCCATTCCCCAGTGTATATTGTAGCAGAGGATGATGTGAAATCCCCCTGCTTTTTTATCCCGTGACCATGGGGCTGGCCGTCTTTGAAATACCCCTCGTAAATGTCGCCAGTTGTGTAGCGCATCACACCGTAGCCATTTTGGAGATTGTCCTTCCATTGGCCTTCGTAGATTCCTGGAAATACAGTTTGGAAAAAAATTAATAGGTAATATGATATGTGGAGGATGGAGGTGGAGGTTTTCCGAAATGTGAAGATAGTGTTTTGATCCAGTATGTGTGGGTTAGAAATTAAGTACATACGCGAAGAAAGACTAGAATCGGTAGCTGAATGCTGTTGCTGATGAGATTCAGTGACTTTGGAAGAGACTAGCGGATATTTTTAAGCAGTTGGACTCTATTTTACTTACAATAAGAATATTGATTCGTATAGGAACCTAAGATTTGTGCGATTTCAAATTTAAATTAGATGAAATCTGAATTCATTTCTAGGTAAATAATTCAAAAGCAGTAAACTGGTGTTGAAATGACGATAAAATACTTATTTTAAAGTGATTAAAGATATTTTCTACTGCTCTGTTTACGCGAAGGTTGGAACAAGATATTTGAGGAATTTATATTCTTTGAGGATTGGACATATGAATGACGTAACTATAATTCAATAAATACCTACTTACGTTATACGTAGAAACCTTTTGTTATTCAACAGAATAAGAATTTTATTCATGCGAAAAAACTACTACGCGCTAGATCGCGCGTATAATCAGGTGACGTCAAAAGATAAATATTTTTATTGTATGTAAGTTTGTACCTACCTAACGTTACAAAGTTAATTATGTATGACAAGGACTATTTGTAATGTTAGGTACCTACTAGGTATTAAGTGCAGGGTATTCGTATTCTTGTTGAATTGTTATGTAGTTACAATAGCCTACATAAGAACAATCAACAGATCATGCCAATACTTATTTAAATGTTGCGAACTCGCATCTAGCAACTTAGTAAGATTAAAGATGTCGCATTTAATAACTGGATGTGCGTATGTCCGTAACTACTACGCACTTAACTCGTATGAAAATAAGATTATTTACCTTGGCTAGGCATTTCCATCTTCCCATGTCCACACAGGGAATTCATTTGGAACTGGCCCACATAAAGTTTGCCATCAGGCCATTCCACTTTGCCGCTTCCATGTATCTTGCCGTCTAACCATCGACCGCTATACTGCGCGTCTTTGTAGAAGACATTTTTGCTCGAAAAGGTGTAGCTCGCCGTCCTAGCCGGCGGTGGTTTGAAGTTCGACTCCTTGTTCAAAGCAGACCTTATGGACAAGTTTAACGCATGTATCCATTCCGTTTTCTCCTGCTCGGTACTCGTGGAAACAGAGAGAATCTCCTCGGGTGTTGTCAGCTGAATAGCATTCTGTACGGAGTCTGTGTTCTGAATAGGTTCCACCCATAGTGTGTCCAAGGGGTGGACGTTGGGCGTACTTCCAACCACGTGGATGAACAAGTCATTGAATAAAATGAACCAATGCGACGAAAACCTGCCAGGGTTCACCAGATTGAGAAGACGAGACTTTGATTCCCTGACTAGACGGCGTTCTGGAGTCCTGTACTGTTCCAGAGATTTCCCTATGCTCTCCCAAAATAACTTCGTCAAGTCCGCTTCTTTCCGTTTCTTCTCTTGTTCCTCTATCAGAGTATCCAAAGACGAGATTACTTTGTTCAATCGATCGTCGATATTAGTTTTGGCATCGGCCTTTTTCCTTTGCGATTTATATCTCAAAAGAGACTGAGCTATACACTTGTAGGAGCTCAATCTTGTTAATGGCTGCACAAAAGCAAGTGCTACTATGGCTTCCAGAGTCTTTTTGTTGTTTTTCTGCTTGTTCGATGGGAGTTGATCACTAAATAAATTATAAATACTATTTGGAACATCAACTATATTGTTAATGTTAGAAAAACCTCCGATAACAATCAAGTTGCTTACAGCTACATAATACTTTCTGTACAAATAAATATACTCTTCTAAATTTTTAATTAAAGAAATATCACATTCATTGATGTGCTTCTCTGCATATTGCCACATCGAGAGCACATTTAGGGCAGTTGTATTCAAAATGTCACTAAAAATATCACAAACAGTTTCGTATATAATGGAATGTGAAGTAATTACTTTACTCTTTTTTAAAAAGGGCTTGATGAGGGAATGATATATTAACAGCATCTCCTCTAAATACCTTTGAGCAATAGATAAGTCCTGAAATTCTGGACATTTCATGGACTCTTCAAGAGAACAGTAACTGATGTTACCAGAAGACAAAATTCTCCAATGGTAACACATATTCTGGGGTTTATTTATGTACACTTGGGGCTCAGTTATTTTCACAGCCAGATCTTTCCCATTTTCTTTAATCTCCTCATTCTCTGCATTCTTGTTCAAATTCACAATGGATTCTGTGTAACCTTCAGTATGTTTTCCCATGTAGAAAATGTTTTCATTGTGTGTATAAGCAAGTGTGTGATGGTCAGTAGCAATCATGTCTCTCACTCTATCGCTATCTGAATTTTCAGTAAACTTCTTGGGGCCACTTTTGTCGTCTCTAGATTCAAAGCTGACTTGATGGAAATGATTGTAGCCCCAGAGGAATAGGCGGCCATCAAGGGTGAGCGCTGAGCAATGCCACTTGCCACAAGAAACTTTCTGAAGTCCAAAACCAGATAAGCTCATAACAACCATTGGCTTCAGTCTCTTGACTGTGTCACCTATACCTAACTGTCCATATGATATGTCTCCCCAGGTCCACAGTTCAGTTGCTAAAATATTTTTACCAAGTTTTGACATGTTTTTGAGGTTTTCATTCTTTCTGGCAGCCTCAAACTCCTTTTCACTGCTTATTGTACTTGTAGAGAACTGTAATTCGTCCATATTACAGTTTGAAGCGCAGCTATACATTAGAGAATTGAATTCTTCGTTGTTGTGCCTATTTTGTAGTTCTACTACCTCATTGTTTTCACTACTACCACTGACATGTCTAGATAATGTTGCCACTTTGTCACCCACTGTCTTCACACCTTCATACACAAAGTTAGTGAGATTTGAAACATTCTCCTTGATGATCCTTGTTGGTTTTTCAGTATATTCCACTAAATAATCTTCACCAGCAGAAACCCATGAAAGCTGCCTGCTAAGGAACTGTCTAGCTGCATCTGTGTTTATAAAAATATTGTTTATTTTCTCTGTGCTCTCATGGGTGCTTGCATTATCTTTTTCTGTGCTTTCATCATCATCATCATGTGACTTGGTTTCCACACTGTCAGGTTCAATATCAGTGATTTTTTCAGTGGCATTACTCCTTGCAATTTTTGACTCTTCTGATGAGGGACTAGAATCTTCAGTAAAACTATGAGCATCAACATGGACATCAGTTTGAGGGGCTGTTGTACTACTAGAGTCCTCGCTGGACTTGCTGATCTGTACTCCTAGGGGGCAGGTTTCTGAGAGGGACGGCACAGACGCGGGGGAAGCTAGGCCTATTATTGTCTGGCATTGTGAGCAATTCGACGCAAACACCTCCTCATCATCATTATCACTCTCAGTGTCACAGTTCCCCGATCGCTTCACGTTTTTCCTAGCTATCACTGCTGCAAAATTCTGCCCAACTGACGCACTGTACACTGTCCGGCCTTCGAAAAATAGAACTTTCTTAATGCTACTAGTATCTAATCCTATTTGGGGCATAACACCACAGCCCCAGAGTTGCCCATCGCTGCTGATAAATAGTTGGCCAAAATCACTTGACACCACGTTCCTAAACCTCACTTTGTAACTGGAACTTTTGAAGCCGTGAGGGCAACACTTCGCGTCTTCTTTCACGACGATCTCTTCTTTACTTTTGAAAGTAGAATTCGTCTTGTAGATACGTCCATGCACGTCTATTACGTAAAGAACATCGCCGTGATATGATATGTCGATAGCGGAAATGCCACCTATTTTCCTAAATACTAAACAATCTTCTTCAATGTCGCAGTGATACAGACCATGGTCATTTCCTAGAACAATGAAGTCACTGCCCAAGGAACAAAGTTTCACGATTTTTTCAGGTACTTGCTGCGAAGAAGAGATGTTCAATGGTGTGATCCCTTTCCAGAACTTATGTTGACTCATTATTTGATAAAGACTTCTTTCTTTTACCGGGAAGTAGGAGTATCATTGAAATCGAGCTTCCTCTAGCACTTTCAACGGTTTATAAACCTTAGTTTTACTTGTGGCACTGTTACAGTTAATTAGTTTGGTGAACACAAACATGATAGCACTAAAGGACTATAAGAAAGTGATTTATGATTTGAAAATGAACAAATAAATATTTATTTATAACTTCGGTGATAAGAATTTCTGATCATTTTTGACATTTCTTTTGGTATGACAGCTTCTTGACAGCTGATTGATAATCTATCTATATATATAAAAATGGAACCCGTTTCGCGTTGTCACGGCATCACGTGTGAACGGCTGAACCGATTTCGATAATTCTTTTTTTTAAATGTTTGTGGAAGTCCAAGGATGGTTCTTACGGAAAAAAATATTAAGAAAATCTCTACGCTAAGGCGGTACGAAGTTCGCCGGGTCAGCTAGTAGCTCAATAACTTGTCTATGGTTGTAGTGCTTTCTATTTTTTTATAAAATTATAAATTACAATACAATACAATAAAATCAATACAAGACAGTACAAAAATATTGTTAAAATTTTACTTTCTTGCAATTAAATTTTAACTACTTCCATTATTGAGGGCTGAATAGCTTAAATGTCTTTAGCATAATGCGTACATATTGTGACTAACAAAAATCTATATGTCAAAGACAAATTTCATCTGTCATTCATCCGCCTTGTTTCTTTCCTTTCTCGTTTTTGTAATTCAATAAAAATGGCGAATCGTGCTGGTGGGTCGGCTAGAAGAGTTCCTGAGACTGAAGCCGCTATTACTTACGTACAATGTGATGGTTTGGTTAGTATTTCATTGAATTACTTTGAGAAAATCGCTTGAAACGGTACTTCTAAATCTAACCTCTCGTTTAGTAACTCGACACGTCATGTATTTATATAATTTTCGCAATATTAATCCTTATTCTCGTTTATTTCGATGCCCAGTGAAGATTCTAAACAAAAGCCTTCAATTCGTGTCCAATGTTATGAGCTGTAAGTTTAATAATAGGTTATGTTGTCACCAACAATATCTGTTAGCATCTATAAAAAATGATGCCATCACCATCAACCATCATTTAGATCTACCTTGATTTTATCCAAAATATCTTAAATTAAAGATTTTTTTTTTCCAGTCAGTATAAATTAANACATAGCTCGCAGAATTGCTAAAATCAAGTGGCAGTGGGCGGGGCACATAGCTCGTAGAGACGATGGCCGTTGGGGCAGGAAAGTTCTCGAGTGGCGACCACGGGCTGGAAGACGTAGCGTGGGCAGGCCTCCTACTAGGTGGACCGACGATCTGGTAAAGGTCGCGGGAAGAGCCTGGATGCGGGCAGCGCAGGACCGTTCATTGTGGAAAACCTTGGGGGAGGCCTTTGTCCAGCAGTGGACGTCATTTGGCTGAAAAGAAAGAAGATAAATTAATTCAACATTTGGAGTGGAACATTATAGTTTATCAAATTATTACAGGCGGTGATGAAAATCGTGAAGCACTGCCATGAGGAATCATGCAGCAACATGGAGGTGGCCCAGGGAGCCTTACTCGGTCTGGTCGTGGAGAACCGACTGGAGATCACCAACTGCTTCCCGTTCCCGAAGCATGATGACACTATGGATGAGGAGGAGTATCAGCTGGACATGATGAGAAGACTGCGTAGAGTCAACGTTGATCATTTTCATGTTGGATGGTTAGTATTGGTTTTTTATGCAACTACAAATACTGTAAGTTTAAAATGTTTTTTTTGTCCTCTGAAATTACAGAAGCTTGTTATAATGTTTGTGCTCTTGATATTGGTTAAAAGTAGAGATGAAACGGATATCCGGTAACTATCCGGTAGGCCGGGTATCCGGCCTAAATTTACTATCCGGCCGGATACCGGATAGTAGCTCACTATCCGGCCGGATACCGGATATTAAAAAACTACGACAATTTCCTATTAATAAAATAAATTCATTAATATTTGAGGTAAACATCAATAAAATGGCATAAAATAATGACGGCTTTTATTTAAAGTCCAAAAAGTTACAAAAAGCCATATTAAGGCCTTTCAAAAAACTAATTTCTTTTTCTGGGCTATTCACTCTAATGACGAATACATAAATAGTAAATATCTGTTCTCGAAATATTGCCAAATAAAATTGGCGATCTTTTTTCACTTTGATCACTGATGGTCTGATGTCATGATGCAGTTCAGTCAGATTATGCAGCAAGTAAACTAATTTAATTATCGCTATTCAATCACACACTTACGATGGCAACCGAAATCGCCCGAATTGATCTGCCCCCTAGACAAGTGGCAAAATCTGACATTCTGTTCGGACTGATTCGATTTTCGAAAAGTGTGACTAGTCTAGTCTACTAATAGACCCACTGATTGCGTTCGGAGCACCTGTGCGGCGCTAAACTCGTCACGACATGCAACGAGACAATGGGCCAACTATCCGGCCGCCGGATATCCGGCTATCCGGCCTAGCAGCTGGCCGGATATCCGGTATCCGGTATCCGGCCAAACAACTATCCGTTTCATCTCTAGTTAAAAGCACCTATTTGTTCTGCATGAGTAAGTAAGTAGAATTTAGCAGTAATAGAATTTAGTTTATTCATTATATGTATTTCTAAAATAATGCATTGATAAATAGGTGTCTTTTTGTTACTGAATCTGACTTCTAACTTCCAGCAAAATAGAAAGCTGAATTTTATTGTAACATCCAAACATTGTTACAGTTAATTCACTAATAGAATCCTATGTGACATTTAAAGAAATAAGTAATTTGTAAATACTAATGCACATAGCCAGCGATAGGGAAAGATGGAAAATGATGGAGGAGGCTTGTACATAAGTAGGGCCACAACCAAGAGAAATACTTACATTAAGGCTAGGATTTACCGCCTCGATGCCGTGCATTTGTTTACCTCAGCCCCCGCACACCTCGCACTGACACTCGCGCTGACACTCGCGCGACGCGTTAACGCCACA